AATTTACAGGTTTGTAATTACACATTTTGATTGTTCGCAAAAAAATTAGAATAATTAACGCCAGTTTTTATAAATGGCAATTTTTGGAGGTATTTCGCCCACTCGACTTAAGCTCGGAAGTTCTGTGAATATTATGCTTCAGTAAAAAGAAAATTTTAAATTTTGTTTTTGTGTTGCCCGAACTGCAGAATTTCAAGTTCCGTGAAAAACCGGAATCGATCGGCATACTTAGCTGATAAATGAGTCTACGTATGTAAGAATTTAATTACAGAATAATGCAATTGCTATTATTGCTTTAGACTTCCTTCCTACATCCACACTCATACTCGTCAAAGCGTCATATCACAGCTTAGATATTTATGCATTCATAATTGCCATAATTAAAGTCATACACGCTCGGTTGCTAGCTTCAATCTGACTTGTTTCATTGCGCCACCTGTATATATGTAAGTATATACATACATATTTGCATACATACATATTGTGCTGACAATTTAAGTTCAGTCTTAATTGCTTGCTGATGTCAATTTATTTTTTATTTTCTTTGAACTAATTTTTTAATGAAATTGGCTTGCTAGCTAAGAGCTTTTATCGATGCACATAAATGCTAATTCTTAATTATTGTCGCGTGTTTTTCAACTGTAGCAATACATAAACAAGTGTTTGTACATACCACCATACGTTTTATACGTACGTACATTAGACTGGTTCAAAAAAAATATAGAGTGTTTTTTTTTTCAAAACCCCTATGAAATATTTTCGCGACAGTAAGAAAATGGCACCTGTCAAAAGCGCAGCTCTTAATATTTAGATTTAGGGGTCGCTCATCACGAGTTTCCTTTTTTCATATTAATTAAAAAGGTGTTACTTTATTTCCATTTTGAAATTTCATAACTCGTTTTTGAGTCAACGTGTCGGAATGAGCGAAATTTATTATAAATATACTTCAGGCCTTGCACTTACACTAGAACTAAATGTGCCATGAAACTGCTTATCTAAAAAAATCAACATAGTCTAATCAAAATTTCAGACTTTTATTCAGAATTTTTGGAAAATTGTTGGGTATACAACAAATATATATCGGTCACTCCGATACGTTGACTTTAAAACGAGTTATGAAATTTCAAAATTTTTAATAGTTTTTTCTCCCTATGTTATTTATGTGGAAAATAGGAATTCGCGATAAACGAGATATAAATCTTAACATTTAGGGCTGCGCTTCTGAGAGACATCTTTTTTTACTGTCACGAATATATTAAATATATTTCAAGGAAGACTAAAAAAAAAATGATTTTTTTTAACCCGTCTAATGTACTATATAGCTAAGCTTAAACGGTTGCAACGGTCTTATAGTAGTTCATTTGACTTGCGTGATCGCAGTCGTAAAACATTTAAAGTTATTTTGTTGTTGTTTGTTTAGCTGTCGCGCCACAACGAATGACGCCATTTAGCCTTGACAACGAATTTACTGGAGCGTCGCGAAAACAAAGTTCATTGAGGTAGTCGCGCTTATTCTCACACCTACAAGCCGGCTAATTTTAATAGCCAAATCAAGTAAGCATAAATGCAAGTGTGTTGAAATATACGTACAAGTACATATATGATGTATACAAATTCACAACAGGGTGACCCAAAACTAGTTGTAATTAAACAACTTAAAACTTTGACGGTTCCTATTAAGTTAGCCTTTTCTTCAATCTAAAAAAACAGTAGATTTCCTTTCTAAGGCTTAAACATAATTGCAAAAATCTGTTATGTAGTTTAGTTCTTTAAAAACGCAGCTGTAGGTGGAAGTCACTGAGAGCCAGATATTGCAAACACGAGGGGTTTTCAGATAGTCAAGAACAGGCTCGAGGCAACTTTTCTACACTACACCCATATATATATGTATTAGACTTCATCACTCCCCATAAAATAAAATCGGTACTGTTTTTCCATTAGAATTATAAAATCTATTATATTTTAAGACGTCCACCAAAATATTTCGGAAAAATAATAAGATTTAAGCAAGCTGGACCGATTTGAAAATACCTCCAAAAATGGAGTTTTTTTTATAAATAAAAATAGTTTTTAACAGCTTAACTGAAACGGGTATAGTATATCGTCGTTTAAAGTACAAAACCGCGTATCAACAAAATGCAAAACCGCGTATGTGAGGTTGCATAAATTTTTTTTTAGAGAGTAAAAACACTTATATTTCAAAATGGTTCTCTTTTTTATAAAGAAATCGCATTTCTCGCTAGTATATTTCAGGACGAATGGATAAGGATTGAGCCAAGAGCTTGTGTGAGCAAATCCAATTTTTGGCAGTCAATGTCAGTTACGTGTTTTGCAGAATGACGATACGCGGTTTTATACTTTAAACGACAATATATTTTATGAATGCGTGCGCTGGTTATACAAATTTCGTTTTCACCCTATCTTAGATTTCTTCACTTTTTTCGCCTACCATACATGTACTTAGTGACGGAATTTTATAAACTTTAATGAGGGAAATTGGACCGCTAAGTTAATTGTTTACGATATTTTCATTGCGATTTTATACTGTGTACATATGTGTATTTAGTTAGGTATAATTGAATTAGTTATTGCAGCAACCCGTCAAGCGCCAAAATACAGCGAAATATTCTTGTTTGGAAGTAGGCGCACCGATTAGTGCATAAACTCGCCAGGAGCCATTGCCGTAAGACTGGTAAATGGACCTTTTCAGGAGTTTTATATGGTTTTTAGAGTTTTTGGGTTATGTTCTTCACAAAAATTTTAAATTTAAAATAAATTGACATTCTTGTTTTAATTCAACGAAAATTGTAATTGCTAATAAAACCAAAAACAACGCATAATTAAATCGTTTACTTCAGAAATCCGTTAGGTGAACAATTAAAAAAAAAATCCGTTTAGTTTGTACCACAAAAAACTATCTGTTTTCATAAAAGTACTCGAAAGTATAATTATTTTCAATAAAAATGTCTTCAAAAGGAATTGCTTTCCTAAGAGGAAAATTAGTTTTGTTTAGTTTTCTTTAAACGGCACTTTTGGCACTTGACGGGTTTCTGAAAAAATCGATTAACCTGTCTTGTGCTGTTCTCCTGAGCTTTGTGTCTACTTGCCAACGGTTGACTGCTTAGAAAAAAGTCATAATTTTTTTCCACATGTTGCTCGGTGCACTAACCAAGCCTGGGTCATACGCAGTGTAGATATGCAGCTATAAGAACGTCTAACAAATATTTAATTTGAATATTTTTGAGGTATTTTAAAAGGGTTGCCACCGGTTTAAAAAGTTAAATTCAAATTATTTAAAAAGTTAAATGAATTATTAAAGGTAGGTATAAATCGAAACAATTTTGGAAGGGCCTTAATTCCAAACTATATTTAGGAGGGTTGCCACGTATTTTTTGTTCAACTTAATTCTAAGGTTATAGAAATCAGTATGCCAATGTCAGCGACAAATACTTTTGAAAAGGGTTGCCACCTATTGGAAAGCTTAATTTTAGTTCTTATATCTACAAGCGGTATATTAAAATATGTGCGTTAAAGAAGAGGGTTGTCACCGGTTTAAAATGCTAAATTAAATTGTGGCATTTTAGCGGTGGCGCACACACCACACACAATTTTTTTCTAGTTTCGATGTTCCACAACATATGTACATACAAATATATTGCATACATATCGCTCATTTTCCGGAAGAACTTCAAGATTCAAAAAAAAAGCTTTTCCATGTTGTATAACAAAAATATGGTGGCGATATATGGCGGCTGTGGCTATAAGAAGAGAGTTTGCCTTTCTTTCAATTTAACTTTTGCCTCTTTGTTTAGCAGCTATAACGAGAAAACAATCACTCCTTGAACTGTACTTAGCTTTAGTGACAGCTCTATCCTATGTAGATGATTCCGAGTATTTTTAATATTGAATGTTTTTAATTATTGTTTGGCTTAATTCAAGTTGAAAACTGAATTCAAAGTTTTTTTGAGTTAAGCCATTCTTCCATTAAACGAGCAATATATGTACCTACCATGCGTACATATGTAAGTATTTAGTGTAGCATTTTTATCAAGTGATAAGCAAGATATGATGTGATAACATAAATAAATAAATCTATAAATTAGTTGAAGTTTAATTTTTATTATTTCGAAACAAGTGTGTAATCGTGCTAATATGTGCTCCGAATAAATGCACTAGTTTTCTGTATTCAGTTTTATAATCAAAAAAAATAATTAATATATACTTAATTACTTGCTGATACTTACATATATGTATTTTCACACACATACTTAAAATTTCATATGCGGTGAGTGTCAGTGAATATAGTACAGTGATTTTTTTTTCAATTTTTTTAATTATTTTGTTTTACTTACATTTTATTAATTTTTAATAAAAATATAGTTCACACGACAACAATATCCATAAAACTCAAAGTTTCCCACTTTGCAAAACTACAACAAAATCATAAATTTTTAATCAAAATTTTACACTTTTTAATCAAAATTTTTAGAAACTTTTGTGTATGCAATCTTATAGCACATTGAATTTTAGTATAATAAAGTGCAAGTTTCAAGTCGTTAAGAATTTCCGTTGATTTTGGGAATTTTTTTTTTGTCGATGGTGTTGCGCATTTTCTTTCATATATTTATGTAGGTAACGCATGAAAAAAATCTATTTTATATGGAAGAAAATGAGCAACACCGTCGACAAAAAAATTCTCAAAAATCAACAGTATTTTTTAGCGACATCAAACTTGCACTTTATTATATTATTATAGTTTTGATGGAAAGTTTATGATTTTTTTTTAATAGTTACGAAGTTAGAAAATTTCAGTTTTATGGATTTTGTCTTAGCGTGAACTATATGATTTTATTAAAAATTAAATAAAACAATTTATTAAAAATAAAATTTAAAAAAAAAATTACTCTAACATTTTCACTGACTCTCAATGTTATGAAATTTATTTGTATGTGTGTGTAAATACATACGTATTAACAACAAATTTTCTATGAAATATTTACCTTTCCGCAGCAGCGCTATTCAAATTTCTGTTGTCGTTACTCTTGTTGTTGTTGTCATCATGTTTAACATTGCTTTTATTTTTGTTGTCGCTCTGCAATTCCTTAACGTTTTCTTTGTTGGCATGATTGTTTATATTCGCATCTTCAATGCTAACCGACTCTAACAAGCTTTGGATTTCATCAACGATTTTTAACTTGCCACTCACCGTGACCGGCAAAGTTGTAGGCAACTTCTGCTCAGGCAGCAACACTTGCATTTTTATTTATTTTATATGAAACTTTATCAATTCAAAATTAATTATATCCTTAGGTATCTGCCTACTTTTTCTTGTTGCTTATAGGCATGTATGTATTGAAAGGTTAGTTTTTCGTTTTGAAATATGAAATACTGTTTTTATTGAACTTAAAACCTTGCAGCACTGTCTTTGAAAATTATATAATATTTCTACGTCAGCATAAATAAGTAAGTCGTAGTTTGTAATGTAAATAAAAGATTGATTTCATCAAAAAACTTTCACTTCTTTCGCAGTTGATGCCTGGCTATGGACTGAATGAACTACTCCACACTGACGACCAGAAATCAACTTTTTACCTCAAACAATCGCATTCATTCAACCGCCAAACAACAATGCTTTGCCCGTGGTTGAGGTGAATTCTTGGCGCTTTGGTTGTATCGTCAACAGTCGTGGGCACAGCGACGAATCACCACAGTCGTCACATAACGAATTCCACCGATGACGATTTTCCGATTTCCCTCCCCAAACATTGGCGCTATGCGGTGGCAGTGAATCAGCCGCATTGGTATTTAAAGGTGGGAAAATTGCGTCGTTTTATTTTCGGTCAATATCTTTGGTGTGTGTGTGTGTCATCGAATACACAAAACTCACCACTTGTCTGGCCGGCCAGTCAGCAACCACCCACTCCACGCTACTTCACTAGACGAGTGTCGGAAATTCTTTCCCATGTACAACATTTCGTGTAAAGTTTTTTCGTTGTTGTTGTTTTTCGTTTTTCTCTTGTTGTAATAATTTTTACCATATAAACGCGCCTTTGTTGGATCGTTCAAATTTTCACACATTTGATGTTTTTGCCAGCATTCTGAGTGCTATTTCAGGTGTGTTTTTCTTCTCGACTTGCTGATTTCAGATTTAAGTGCCAAAAATGTTTCCGTTGGCTACTTTTCAAGAAGTTGATAAATATACAACGCAAATATGAATATTTTTAAAGCTTCAAAGAATTCTTATTTTATAAATGTCGAAATAAACTGTTTGGCTTCGAAGGAATTCAAATTTTTCTGCATTTTTTTTATACAAAAAAATTATGCGAAAAGGAAATATAATTTACTTAATTATGAAACGTTACTTTTTTTAGGTATTGTATTAAAATGGTTTGTTAACCGAGTATTGAGGCATCAGCCAAAATTAAAGATTAGTATATCAGTAAAAGTTACTCATTTAAAATTATGTGGTGAAAGAAGATTTTGCGGGAGGATTCATAAAAATGCTGTTTTATATGGAAAAAATGAGGCAAAATCTTTAATGTACAAGCAGGCTCCGCGGAGCCCCTACAGTACTGATTGCAAAATGTATGTACTTATGTATATGCAAACAAAAACTTGCTACGGTGAAATCTAAACGGGGAAAAATTAAGGAAAGAAATTAAGCCCGTATGTCCTATCTACTACAGTACATTCCGCTTAGCTGCATTTACTTTCACTGCACACGATTTGGTGCACTTAAGCGAAATGGGCAGCTAAGCTGAAAGCAAAAACTGACATATAGGGGTTTGTAGCCCATTTCTGGAATATCATAGCATGCGTTTATGGGTAGTTTTTCAGGTATTGATAAGGGATATTTAAGTTTTAGGCAAAAAAGGCTTTTGAAAAAAGCCGAAGTATTTTTTGTACAAATCGGAGAAAACTTACTCAAAAAGAGGGCTGTTAAACGGTAAGCGAAAAATGCACCTAGGCGAATAGGCTGCTAAATGGAATATTCCGTAATGCCATAGTTCTGTAGCTGAGACGAAATCGTATTAGCAAAATCTAGAAATGGAGTTACCACAAAATGAAATGCTTTTAGAGTTTTGTATAATCTAAGAGCAGTTATCGTGCTGACTAAAAAATTGCAAAAAAATGTTACCGATGTGGAGGGAATTATAAGGTGCACTGTTATTTTACTAGCAAAAAATCCATTAAAAGTTCTCGGCAGAAAAAAAAGTATTCTTCTTGCATTTATTTCAATCAATGGAACACACATTTATTTAGGCGAAAAACTACCGAAATTACTAACTTTTTCATTGTCACTCGAAAAAATCATAATTGTTTATGTTTTTTTTTTTTATAAATTTAGTAAGATTTCAAATGGAATGTTCATATTAGAGGCAATAGACGTTGGCAACAAATACAACATATCTGTGAAGTTTCAAGAGTTTACCACGAAATTAAAGAACTGGCAGCGTGCAGAATATCTGTCGCAGCTATTTTGTATTTTTTGAAATTTAACGATTTTTTGTAATTTTTATAATTTTAGATTCTTCAAAATGTTAAAAACAAACAGTGAAAACGTTGTTTTTGCCAAGACGAACGAATCTAGTGTAATAAAACTAGTGTGTCACGAAATGAAAAAAAAAAACAAGTAAGAAAGTCTAAGTTCGGGCGGAGCCGAACATTAAATACCCGGCGCAAGTATTAAATATGTGTTTTCCACCTTTCCGAAAGCTACCGCTATATGATAAGCCGGCGTGAATAAATTTTAAGTAAACTAGCGTCCTTAAATTTCAAAATATTGAAATTTCAAGCATTTCTGAAATTTACCGTTATATGAAAAGTAATTTTAGTCCGATTTCAACAATTTTCAATGGTTTACTTTTATGTGGCAAGCACAATAACCATACCGAGTTTGGTACAAATTGCTAGAACGGTTAGCGAGATACATATACGTGATCATAAGTGGGCGGTGCCACGCCCATTTTCCAAAATTTTATCATAAACGTATTTCCTGGCAAAGAATTGTTGCAGCCATCATTTTGAATAAATTAGCTTTAATATTTACTGATTTTTCGAGGATTTCGTATTTCTCGAAATTACCGTTATATGGGATGTGGGCGTGGTTATTGTCCGATTTAAAAAATTTTCGGCCATTTGGTATGCTGTAGCAGGGTGAACAACTGTGCCAAGTTTGGAATAAATTGATGCAGCGGTTACCAAGATATACACATGTAACCATAAGTGGGCGTGGCTACGCCCATTTTCAAAAAAATGTTAATATTCTTATTTTTCGTCTAAAATTTATTATAAATATCAATTTTGAGTGAATTATCTTCAGTAGTTACTAAAATATCGCAGTTTTTGTATTTCTGAAAATTACCGTTATATGGGAGGTAGGCGTGGTTATTGTCCGATTTTGCCCATTTACCAATAAATACCATCCGTCCTACGCCCGAAAGAAGTACACGTACCAAGTTTCGTTAAGATATCTTAATTTTTACTCGAGTTATCGTGTGCACAGACGGACGGACAGACGGACGGACAGACGGACGGACGGACGGACAGACAGTCACCGCTTAATCGATTTCTCTTTTCATTCTGATCATTTATGTATACATTTGTCTATATCTATCTCGATTCGTTTTGCCTGTTACAAACAACCGTTATGTGAACAAAGTTATAATACCCTTGTGCACAAGTGCGCTCGGGTATAAAAATGTACTTTGCATGTTGCCTGCCGTGGAAATCGAACCTGACCATCTCCGGATATCAACAACTTGTGGCAAGCATCTTTGCGCACTCAGCTACATCCGGTCATATAAATTTGCTTTCAAATGTTGAATATCCATCAACACCACAGCACGCGATTTGTACGTATAAACATGTACTATGTATGTATGTGTGTGTTGCCACCGCTCTCAGAGCGGCGCTCTGCATGCTTGGGGTGCGTATGTACACTCATATACATATATACTCAGATGATTTTTAAATACGAACATTTTTAAAACGATAATCAAATATAAAGTATTCATTTTTACTATGCATTATTTCCCTCAGTGTATGTTTCAAGTTTGAAGACGCCACATTGTTTAGTATATGCTTGCCAGCCGTCAATAGTGAACGTTTTTAGTGAATTTGTAAAAATGGAGAAAATTGGTCATCGTTATGTGATACAAAACTTTTATTTGAAAGGCCTCAGCCCATCCAATATATAAGCTGAAATAGATTCTACTTTGAGCGGATCTGCGTGCGCGAGCTAGCAGATATAGTAGGTATTTCGATAAGTACGGTACATCGCATATTATCTGAAGATTTGGAAATGAGAAAGCTGTGTCCATGATGAGTGCCGCATTTGCTCACACTCGACCAAAAACAGTGTCGTGAAGAGGTTTCAATTGAGTGTTTAGCGAATTATTGAATTAATGTTTGAATTGCTACCTCATGCACCCTATTCGCCAGATTTAGCCCCCTCGGACTATTTTCGGTTCCCCAACTTCAAAAAAAGGCTCCGTGGTCAAAGATTTTCTAACGATGAAGAAATGATGTCGTCGATTAGTGGCTATTTTGAGGAAAATGACAGTTCTTATTATAAAAGGGGTATCGAACTTATTGAGCATCACTGGGAAAAGTGTATAGAGCTGAAAGGAGATTATGTTGAGAAATAAATATATTTTTTCCCAAAATTGTTATGTTTCTTTGTTAGGTCGGGTACTTCTGGGACCACCCCCGTATATGTGCATAAGGAATACTGAGCAAAAATCTCCCACACGAATATTTAATAACTTTCATATTAAGGAGTGCAAGTAAACGTGTTAGTTGATTGCGAATGGTGTTACGGGGCGTATACGTTACATACGCAACTACGGGTATATGAGCATTAAGTATGGGTGCATTCCAAAATGTCAAAATACAAGGCTTTTATTTCTAAACCTCAGTAGATTGTAATTCCAAATATGCGCAACAACGGTTAGATGCTAGTTTTCGACTAGGTTGCACAAGTTTTTCTTTGTATTTTGACGTTTTGGAATGCAGGCTATATGACTTCGGATTCAGGAGGAAGTTTTACATGTGGGCCATTCCATTGTGACTAGTGTGACATTCTACTCTAGAATGTGATCAATTGTGAATTTTAACTATGTCGTCGGAATTTATATAACAGCGAACGTAGAACATGGAACGGTAACTAATGTATAAAATTGTTTTAACAAAAATACCAAACGATTTCTTAGTTTTTTGTAACTATCATTTGAATGAATGTAACTAGTGGGACATTGAAAAGAACTCTATTTTACCCTTGATCACGCAAAGATGAATTTTAGCCAAAACACTTAATTTTCACGAGCGATGTATTTGTGTTGTAAAATATGAATTATACGCTTTCGTTTTCAATAAAAATGAGGTTTATATAATCTTCAAAGAAATATTAAAAAATATTTAAAGTTGTGACTGGTGGAACATCTCCTTGTGACCATTGTAAAGTAATTATGCATGAAATAAAAGTTTCTAAAGACAAAAATTACAACTTCTTTTGATTTTTTTAATATTTTCCCACAGGTAA